GCAGGGGGCGGGCGGCAGGGCACTGATGGCTCTCCCGGCTCTGCCCCACAGGCTGGGACATCTCCTCGCTGAACCTGGCCGAGGCCATGCGCCGGGCCCAGGTCCTCGACTGGCAGCTGCAGGAGCAGCTCTGGCCCCACATGGAGGAGATGAAGCCCCGACCCTCCATCTACATCCCCGAGTTCATCGCGGCTAACCAGGAGGAGCGTGCCGACAACCTCATCCCCGGCACCAAGGCCGAGCAGGTGAGGCCGGGGGCAGGCTGGGCTCTGCGGGGCCGGACTGGAGCTGGAGGGCTGGCCCTGCTCCTTGCCTGGGCGCCCTGGCAGGTGGGTGCCCTGGGGCCGTGCACCCTCACCCTGACCTGCCACCACGGCTCCCCGCAGGTGGCTCAGATCCGCCGGGACATCCGGGACTTCCGGGAGCGCAGCGGGGTGGACAAGGTCATCGTGCTGTGGACGGCCAACACCGAGCGCTTCTGTGATGTGCGGCCCGGCCTCAACGACACGGCCGACCACCTGCTGCAGGCCATTGAGGTGAGGGAGATGGGCAGGGCTTTGCCCACCCTGCCACGGCACTGCTGCAGGACGGGGCAGGGGATGCTTTGGCCTTACCCCAGGGCAGCCTTGTCCCCCAAGCCCTGCTGCCCCGGGCCGTGCACTGAGACGCCGCACTCCTTCCCCGCATCTGCAGCGCGGGCTGGAGGTGTCCCCGTCCACGCTGTTCGCGGTGGCCAGCATCCTGGAGGGCTGCGCTTACATCAACGGCTCGCCCCAGAACACCTTTGTGCCGGGCGCCGTGGAGCTGGCTGTACAGCGCGGCGTCTTCATCTGCGGCGACGACTTCAAGTCCGGGCAGACCAAGCTCAAGTCGGTGCTGGTGGATTTCCTTGTTGGCGCCGGGCTCAAGGTGATAGGGGGTGGGGGGTAGGGAGAGGGGGGTCTGAGTCGTAACCCCCCCAGGTGGGTGCAGGCCCTGGCATGGGCAGGGGTGTGCTGGCAGCATGGCAGAGGGGTGCAGGGCTGGAGTAGGGGATGCGGTCTTCCCAGGGCTAGCGTCAAGGGGCACTGCCAGGCTACCTGGGGGCTTCCCGTGGGCAGCGTGCAGAGCTGAGCTGAGCTGATGCAGTGGGGCTGGGGCTGGGGCTGGGGCTGGGGCCGGGCAGCTCGGACCCTCCCCTTGGAATCCGGCCAGACCTGTTCAGCCGCCGGTCGGGAGCCAGAGCGGGGCCCTGCCCCGGGGCTGGGGTGGGACGGGGGGGGC